TCTCTCTCTCTCTCTCTCTCTCTCTCTCTCTCTCTCTCTCTGGTCCAAATCAATTGAACCGAATCACGTGGCAAAAGAGACAAAACTTTTTCAATATTTTGAAATATAATGTAACTAAATTAAAATGTCGCCTTCGAGGATTCATTTATTAATCAAATACAATCCAATCCAATCGAAAGAACGCCGCGGGAACAACGTTTTACTTACGTAAGACGTTCTCTCTTTATCATGTTGTCACACGACAACAAGCCGATAATTCCGTCCGATTAAGATGCACCATGTCGAGACGTGCTCACGCAATTCACGTAATTCGCGCAATTAACCCCTTAGAGCCGCATTCTCAGCCGTTCGTCGGCATCCGGTACGCTCGTCGTTCGTTCATCGTTGTTTCGTTGAAGAACGGGTTCATGAATGAACCCGGCTGTAGTTCGACAAAAAGCCAGCTTCCCTCTTTTTTTTCCGTCCTTCTCCTTATTCGTCTCATTGTACATCTGTTTCTCTTTCTCTCTGCTGAGAGCAACGAGAGGACCGCGGTTATAGAAACTGGTAGAGATGGGATCGAGTATCTCACAAGTGGATTCGAATCATTTATAATATATTTTCAATAATACTTGCAAGGATCTAAGCGAGATAATTTCGAATGTTTCGCGAAAATGAAACAATGTTTCCAAGTAAATATGTACTTACGAAAATGAAAACAATGCCTCCAAGTAAATTCAAATATTGATGAATAGAGAGTACCTCTAACGCGCATGCGTCGGCTGCGCATACGTTTAACGCGCATGTACCTAACGCGCATGCGTCTCACCCTTCATTTTTCGCTTTTATTTTTTAACAGTTATTCAAATATTTTCTATCTTCCATTTTACTAATACAATTCAGTCTTCTATATAACCAGAATTTTCTTTATTTTGTTAGTAAATTGTAGCTGAGAACTAATAATTGATTTGTTTTAGAATAATTTTATATAATAATTAATAATTTTGATCAATGATGCGTTGATGAAATATAATAGTAAAGCAACACAAACTTACTTTCACAACAAAGT